ATTGCGTCGAGGGCGCTCTGGAGCGTGGTCTCGCTGGCCGAGAGCGCGGCGTTCGTGGCGTATGAGGCCAGCAGCGTCGCGTCGGCCTTGGCCCCCTGGAGCGCCGTGATGCTGGCGTCCCGGCTAGCAAGCTGCGCTGCGTCGAAGGCCTCGGTGGCGAGACCCAGCAGGGCATTTGCTATCTTGGTGTCTACCTCCAGCGGCGTGTCCAAGCCGTCCACCGTGGAGAGCAGGGCGGCCAGCGCGCTTGCGTCCGCCTTGCCGAGGAGGGCGGCGTCCAGGGCTGCCGTGGTGAAGGCGTCCAAGAGGGCCGTCGCTATCTTAGAGTCCACCTCCGAGGAAGTGTCCACGGCCGACTGCAGGGCGTAAGCAGTCAGGGCGCTGGCGTCCGCCTTGGAGGCCTGCAGCCCCGAGATGGAGGCGTCTCGGCTTGCGAGCTCGGAGGCCAGCGCCGCGGCGGTGACGGCCCCCAGGAGAGCGTTGGCCACCTCGGTGTCTACCTCCAGCGGCGTGATCCTCGCCGCTATGTCCAGGGAGTGCTGGTCCACCACCGTCTTGAGGCCGTAGTTGGCGGCCACCGTGGCCAGCGTGGCGTTGTTGGCCGAGGCGATGGAGCCGTTCATGGCCGCCGTGGTGCTGGAGTTGGACAGCTTCAGGTCCACGCTGTCCGGGGTGCTCTTGGTGGCAACCACGCCCTCCAGCACGTCGAAGGCCGACTGGTCTGCCTTGTAGGAGAGACCCGTGGTCAGCGAGCTCTGCAGCGCTGCGATGCTGCTTCCGTGCGCGGCCACCTGACCGTCCGTGGTGGCCAGGGCCGCAGCCGTTGCTAGGGGCGCAATCGCCGGCGCCAGCGCGCTGCTGTCCAGCTTTGAGGCCAGCTCGGCGGTGACTCGGTCGTCCAGGGACTGGATGGCGGCGGCGTTGTTGCCGGAGGCTGCCGTGTTCACCGCCAGGTCAGTTACTTGAGCGTAGGGCGTCAGAGCGAGGGCCAGCTGTCCTGCTGTGACGTGCGTGCCGTCAGTCACCTCTCCGTTGTCCAGGACCTCCGGGATGTTGCCCGTGACAGGTCCTTCAAACATGTTTTCTTAGGAGTAGGTCTATAGCGCAGGGTGTTGTACTTTCGCAACGCGCCCTCACTTGAGTCGCTATGGGACATTCGGGGGCAGGGTGGTATGATTGCGTATCACCCCGTGCTATCAGTACGCGAAGTGGCGCAGTGACCTATAAAATCGGCCACTGGGCATGATGCGATGAATTGACCGAAAACGTCGGTCAAAAACGCTTGGGACACCTCGGCCACATGACGAGACCTGAGCCAACCTTGCCCATTCATGAACCAACCTTGCTCATTCATGAACCATTGATGAATCACCATTAGGATGATCAGGGGCGGACCCGGGAGGAATCGAGCCCGAGACCTTTTTAGGAACGGCTTTGAGACAAGCATATGACTACTGGCAGGATCAACCAGGTTTTGCAAACCCTTGGAGTTTCGAGGTTGATGCTTTGAGGGAAAATATCTCTCAATTCAAATTCCCGTGCTACCACACAAACTCGCTTTTCCATTGCGCACTTTTCGGCCCCAAAGAGAGCGGTGACGAAGCGGTGACAAGCGGTGACATGCTCGGCGGGCTGGAATTCGCCGCTTTTCCGGCCCGAAAGCGGAAAACTGAACAATGGTCGTCTGGAGCCCGCTTTCCACCGAAAACCTGCGAATTTGGAGGCTTGGGCATCCCACTTGCAGTCCGACACGAAAAACGGACTCTTCGGACTCGACCGTTTGGAGCGCTTTTTGCACCAAAAAACGGAGCCTGATGGAGCGGTGACATCAGTGGTGACAAGCTCGGCGGGCTGACGGACCACCTCGGCGGGCTGTCGGACATTGAGCCTGGTCCTCGGCGGGCTGTCGGCCGCGAGAAACCCTGCGGAGAAGGAGCTCGGGAACTGGGCCCGGTTTTGCGCACTTTTGCACCCAAAAAGCGAGCGGTGACAAAGCGGTGACAAGCGGCGACGAGTTCAGCGGGCTGGAATTCGCAGGCTTTTCGGGGCAGAAAACGGAATTCGGAGCACGGCAAACGCGTGGAGCCGGTTTTCGGCAGAAAACGAGCGAACTTGGAGGCTCAGGCACCACTTTCGACGTCTGACACGAAAAAACGCACTTTTCGGAGTTGGCCGTTTTTAGCGCTTTTTGCACCAAAAACGGAGTGGTGACAAAGACCGGTGACATCGGAAAAACGTTCAGCTGGTTGGAGAATTTGGCTGTTTTGCAGGGTTTGGGGACCCAAATCCGAAAATTAATAGGGTAGTATAAGCAGACATTCCTTACTACTGCTTTCACAGACGACACTTGACGACACTTGTCAGATTTGAACGCGTGGTGAGGCGCCGCTGACACTTGACGAGAGTTTCAAGTGCACCATTTTCGTTGCTGGAGTTCCAAAGGCCCCGTGAGGCATTGTTCGGAATTCGGTTGCGTTCCTCGAGGTTCCGAAAGAGAAGTACGATCGTCTCATGGGGGTTCTGTCCAAGGTTTTCAACAAGCGGCCTGGCCCACTGGCTACGGGTGAACGTATCCTGAGTTTCATCGCACGCGGGCTTCGTGTAGGCAAAAGACATGGTGAGCCAAGGTATGGGGAGAACGAGAAAGAAATGCCGTACAATGCTGAGGGAACCGAGACAGAGGCTTCTGGGCTGTTCCGTATAATCAATGCTTTGCCTCTTCTCAGATTCAGTCAGCTCCCTCCTATTTTCTGCAGTTTGACATGACTTGACATATCTTGACATGCAATTCATGCAATTCACATCCGTAGACGCAGTTCATCTATTTAATTCCTATGTACCGAATTGCAGAGGGCTGTGTCATCGTGACCTTCAAGCGTCCAGAGGAGGCCTCAGCGGTGGGCGACTCAAAGAGCCTGACAATTGCGGAAATATGCGAACATATGCGTGGCATGTGCTTGGCATGTGCTTGGCATATGCGAATGTAGACGCGGATTTGCTTGGCATTGCTGTGACTTGAGGCGCAGCAAGCCTTGGACGGCATGAGCTTGGACAAGAAGCACACGCGCCTTGCTTTGCACATCAATGCAAAGCACAAACCGTTGGACCAGCCCGTCCAGCGCTGTCAGGTTCAAAGTGGTGAAGTTTGACGATTTCAACCGAATCACTCACAGGGAGGATGTGGCTCGCACAAATGTCAGAGTGGGTCCAGCAAATGTATTTCTACTGCGAGGAGTTCAGGCCTCAACGGAATCTGGCCTCATACTCTCGAGCAGATTTCCGATCTTGGCTAATGGACAAAAAGTGCAGGGAACAGCGAGGACCTCAAATCAGGCTGGTAGAAGTCAGCAAACGCAGTAGCGTGCCCAGGTTTTTGCTGCGATATCAGACAGAGACGGTTCCTGGCCTCACTTGGACAGCAGCAAGCGCAGATGTGCGTTCTCCAGCTGTGCAAGGAGATCTACTGGCACGACACCACCATAGGCAGGCCTACGCGATACCCGTTCGTTCCATCGCATTTCGTTACGCGGCACACAGACCCACGCGGGGTTGTGGTACTTCTTAGCTTAGCAGTCAGCGCGTGTAGCGTGCGGCTCTGTTTGCAAGTTTCACTTGGCCAACACTTGGCTCGAGCACAAGGATAGTAAAAGGGCCGCCCGGCTGCCCTAAGTCTATTTTGGTAGATTTATTGAGAATACCAGCAAAGTTTACCAGGAATCCAACATTCGTAGAAAGTATTTGAAGCATAGCAGAATCCTTGAAACATATTGTAAATTACACAGCGTGTGTTGAAACAGTTCGGGGAAGTACTTGCAATGTACGGGCTGTGTCGAACGTGGGCCAAGCCAAAAAATAGGAGCAACCCTCTACGACAAAGTTGTGGCCGCTTTATTACATGAGTCTCTTAGTTTTCCGTGAGCGTGTCATATAAAAATTAAACACCAGCTTGGCCAGGCGTATAAATGAGGGCGGGGTTCTTATCTGAGCTTTTGTGTTTAATAGAGCCCCTGTGTGGGAAGTAAACTCACACGCGTGTCATGTTGACAAGTGTCACGTGCGGCGAAGCGCTGCAAAGTGTGGCACGTTTCTTTCGTTTGTTTTTGCTTTGAAATGAGCCCAATCATGTCGCACGCGTTTGCTCGTGCGGCAAACACGCGGTTTCCAGAAAAGCTCCCTATGCTGTGGGTGCAAACCACGTGTGTTGGAGCAGGGTTTTCATCGTAAACGAAACGACAAGTCGCTATAATTTGCCGACCACTAGCTTTGCGCGGCGGGCTTTGGGCCAAGTGTTTGACGGTGTAAAATTTGAGAACCTGCTTAGTGCTTCAACCATGAAGCCTCCCAGCTCCAGCAAGTTCGACATCCAGTAGATCCTCCGGGAGTTATGTCCGGTTGTTTGCGACTTTGCAGTGTTTTTCCTCAAAACCAGGGTTGTTACCCAAGCTTTTACCTCGCGTATCCCTTATACAAACACATTGTAGACAAGCAGGCCTTCGGCCTGTAATTGCAATGCTTGCGGCTTTCCAATTGTTCAGAAACTACTTGATGCCACCCTTAAAACTCATCAACAAATTATGCATCATGACAGCTTGTGCCTGATTTTGCACAAGTTAAAGTTGAGGCACATGTGAAGCCTCCAAAGCGGGTGAGAAAATCAATTTTCTTGACCCTTTTTTGACCCCACACCAGAGTGGCGGTCAACCACAACAGGAAAGCGTGAGCGCATGGATGCATGCGATTGTTTTCATGGCGCATGGCGCTGGTGATTTTCAAATTGGGAATGTGAACAGCTTGGACCATGAATGAATGAATGAATGAATGAATGAATGAATGGAATTAATGAATGAATGAATGAATGAATGAGTGAATGAATGAGTGATGAAGGAATGAATGAATGAATGAATGAGTGAAGGAATGAAGGAATGAATGAATGAATGAATGAGTGAAGGAATGAAGGAATGAATGAATGAATCTGTGAAGGAATGAAGGAATGAATGAGTGAATGAATGAGTGAAGGAATGAAGGAATGAATGAATGAATGAATGAGTGAAGGAATGAAGGAATGAATGAATGAATGAATGAGTGAAGGAATGAAGGAATGAATGAATGAATCTGTGAAGGAATGAAGGAATGAATGAGTGAATGAATGAGTGAAGGAATGAAGGAATGAATGAGTGATGAATGAATGAGTGAAGGAATGAAGGAATGAAGGAATTAATGAGTGAAGGAATGAATGAAGGAAAGAATGAGTGAATGAGTGAAGGAATGAAGGAATGAGTGAAGGAATGAAGGAATGAATGAATGAATGAGTGAATCAGTGAATCAGTGAAGGAACGAAGGAATGAATGAATGAGTGAAGGAATGAAGGAATGAAGGAATGAATGAGTGAAGGAATGAAGGAATGAATGAAGGAATGAATGAGTGAATGAGTGAATGAGTGAATGAGTGAGTGAATGAAGGAATGAATGAATGAATGAATGAATGAATGAATGAATGAATGAATGAATCAGTGAAGGAATGAAGGAATGAATGAATGAAAGAATGAATGAATGAATGAGTGAGTGAAGGAGTGAAGGAATGCATGAATGAATGAGTGAAGGAATGAAGGACATAATGAATGAGTGAAAAAATGAAGGAATGAATGAGTGAATGAGTGAAGGAATGAAGGAATGAAGGAATGAATGAGTGAAGGAATGAAGGAATGAATGAATGAATGAGTGAAGGAATGAATGAATGAATGAATGAGTGAAGGAATGAAGGAATGAATGAATGAATGAATGAATGAGGGAATTAATGAAGGAATGAAGGAATGAATGAATGAGTGAGTGAATGAATGAATGAATGAGTGAAGGAATGAATGAATGAATGAATGAGTGAAGGAATGAAGGAATGAAGGAATGAATGAGTGAAGGAATGAAGGAATGAATGAATGAATGAATGAGTGAAAGAATGAAGGAATGAATGAATGAATGAATGAGTGAAGGAATGAAGGAATGAATGAATGAATGAGTGAAGGAATGAAGGAATGAATGAATGAATGAAAGAGTGAAGGAATGAAGGAATGAAGGAATGAAGGAATGAAGGTATGAAGGAGTGAATGAAGGAATGAAAGAATGAAGGAATGAATGAATGAATGAATGAGTGAAGGAATGAAGGAATGAATGAATGAATGAGTGAAGGAATGAAGGAATGAATGAATGAATGAGTGAAGGAATGAAGGAATGAAGGAATGAAGGAATGAAGGAATGAAGGTATGAAGGAGTGAATGAAGGAATGAATGAATGAATGAATGAATGAATGAATGAATGAATGAGTGAGTGAGTGAATGAATGAATGAATGAATGAAGGAATGAAGGAGTGAATGAGTGAAGGAATGAAGGAATGAAGGAAGGAATGAATGAATGAAGGAATGAATGAATGAAGGAATGAATGAATGAATGAATGAGTGAATGAGTGAATGAATGAATCAGTGAAGGAATGAAGCAATGAATGAATGAATGAAGGAGTGAATGAAGGAATGAATGAATGAATGAATGAATGAGTGAGTGAATGAATGAATGAATGAATGAATGAAGGAATGAAGGAGTGAATGAGTGAAGGAATGAAGGAATGAAGGAATGAAGGAAGGAATGAATGAATGAAGGAATGAATGAATGAAGGAATGAATGAATGAGTGAATGAATGAGTGAATGAATGAATGAGTGAGTGAATGAATGAGTGAGTGAATGAGTGAAGGAATGAATGAATGAGTGAACAAAGGAATGAATGAATGAGTGAGTGAATGAATGAATGAGTGAATGAATGAATGAATGAGTGAATGAATGAGTGAGTGAATGAATGAATGAGTGAATGAATGAATGAGTGAGTGAATGAATGAATGAGTGAATGAATGAATTAATGAATGAATGAATGAATGAAGGAATGAAGGAATGAAGGAATGAAGGAATGAATGAAAACGCACACAACACACGGCGTGGACAAAATGCTTCTATGGTCTGACGGAATTGGGCCAATCTCGTGAAATTGCAAACCAAAAGTGTCAAAGCCCTTTTCTTGATCGCTGACTATATGTAGTGTTGATGAGTTTTGAGAGTAGACATGGGGAACTAAAGAACGGACGTGTGTTGTGTATCTGTAGCTTTGTTCCTTTTGGCAATGTTGTGATGTCTGCTTGTAGGAAGAACAGGCCATTTCTGTTCTCCAGTGTGCTTTGATGCGCTGCAGTCACTGTAGTCTTGGATTGTCATCCAGTGTAAGTTGGAAGCCTTGCTCCACCAGCCTTGTGACCGAAAGAATTGGCTGTTTAACTTCACAAACGTAAAACGGCATGACAATCTGTTGTCCGCTGTGGTTTGTCACGCAAACCCATCTGTACCCGAAAAGTTTGATGCGCTGGTTGAACACTGTTCTGAGTTGTGGCCCCGTGCCATGTGCTAGTTGGTGTAGTGGGACTTGTGATGCAAACCATAGTGGGCATACATGTGTAGCCGCACCGCTGTCAATCATGAGACTGACCCATTTGTCTTCTTCTGTTGGTTGTGGTGCTGCGCCAATCATGGCAATTGTTACTTCATGTGATCCTGAGGTGGGTACTGCTGATGGATCTGCTACCTGTGGTGGTTGTGGTAGCGCGAGTTGGTGCATCTGTGACTGATCCTGGTGATACCAGTTGTTGTCGTAGTGTGCCTGGTTGTACCAGCCATCTGTCTGGTCATTGGTGTCGAAGGTTCCTGTGTCGCAGTCGTAGATCGCCACTCTGCATTGTTTGGCCATGTGTCCAAACATTTGTTGCGCGCTTTCCTTTTGCTCCTTTTCCTCCTTGTTGGTCGTTGTAGCATGCTTCGCCGTATCCTTTGCCTTTGCCATATCCTTGTTGTCCTTTGAATGGATTTCCTTGTCCAACCACCGGTTGTTGATGGTACTTGCCTTTTCCTCGTTTATAGTTGTTGTAGCTGTAGTTGTTCCCGTAGTTGCCGTAGCCTTTGCCTTTGTTGTACTTTCCTTTGCCCTTGTGCTTGCCCTTCTTTCCTTTGCCTTTGTTGTACCATGTCGCTCCTACGTCCATCGGCGCTGGTCCTTGGTTGTTGCTGCCTGATGTGATTGCTTGTAGCCTGGTGAATGATGCTGTTGCACTGCAGTGCTCGATCACCATTGATCTGCGTCTGGTAGTAGTGTGTTGTTGTCCTGTTCATACCTGGATAGTTGAGGCTCCCATGTTGCAAAGCTCTCTTCGAACTTCTGTTCATCAAGTTGTGGTTTTAGCAGCCGTGTAAGGTACCCAACGCTCCTTGTACCAAGTGGTATGGAGTACCTTGCATGTTTCAAATCCGTCGCTTTCAGGAGCACAACGAAGTACGAGCACGCATAGTAGCAAAAGGCTACACGGAACCCGTCACAGACCACATTGTTTTGCAGACTGAGAATACTTCTCACGATGGCACTGGTGCACAACTGGTCGGTCAGCGCAGGAGATGTCAGCGTTG